ATGAAGTCTGTCAGCATCATTTAAAAGAAATTACAGTTGCTTGAAATGGAACCATCTCCCAAAGAGTTTTGAAACAGGAAAATAATTTGTCTTTTTACCTATACCAGTCTGAGGCTCTTTATGGGTTTTCTTCTCTTTTCTGTGGCTATCCTCTATATAGAAAAAAAGTGTTGGGTCTTTGATTTCTGTAGCCAACCTGCATTTGTCATGCTGCCAATCTGTCTCTGGGAAAGTTCTTTTCAATGAGTTAAGTGATGTTCTTGCTTAGTCCCTGGCCTGACAAGAGCAGCTGATACTTCAGGTAGAGCAATTGGTGTTAGAAAGGCTTTTCTTTTTCTTTCTGCTGCTGTATAATGAGCTAGTTGTCTGCTGCATTTAGTCACACTCTTAGCTTTACATAGTTTTTAAATGCAAATTGAGCTATGGCAGTGAACTTACAAAATCTCACCCTGTCACTGTGTGCCCATGGTCGTGGCTTATTTTTTTGGTGAAATTATGTTAATATCCATTGTGTTTAGACTTGAAAGTGTAGCAAGGTAAATGAACTTACTGTATATATTTTAAAGAAAAAATATGGGTTCATTGAGTGAAACTGAAGAGCACTGATAGTTGACTCTATTAAAAATAAACAGTTACCCTTGGAGCGCTATGCTGTCTGATCAGAAAAAATCCTGAGCTACTTACTTATTTATTTGCTGGTACTAGTACATTTGCATTTCCAAAGTTAACCGAGTTGCAAATGAACTGCTGAAAATAGCTCCTGTTGGGATGCTGGTGCAGCACAGCTTGAGAACACGCTTCAGGAGGCCTATTCCTGCAACTCGCTGGTGGCTCTTGCGTCAAGGCTGCGTGCTACCTTCAGTCGTGTAAGCACATGATTTTCTCCTATATGGTGCTCTGTGCAGGCTATTGCTGAAGGGGAAGAACAAACTCTGGAAAGCAGAGATGGGCGTCGGAGCCCAGATTTCTCCGGAGGTCCTCCCCAGTGTATTCCGGAGCAGCTGAGAGCGTGTGTGTGTGGTCTGAGAGCGCTGGCAGGTCTCACGCTGTGCCTGCTCTGCTTGCCAGCAACCTGCAGGCTTGACATGATGCGGGGAAAAAAGTCCAGCAATGGAGCTGGGACTTGCTGGTTTTTAAAAAACAGCCTCCCCCTGCTTTCCCTTCCCTCCCCCATGTGGTTTGGGCCAAATTGTTCCTTGCTGTAATGTCTGTCTGTTCAGGGGAGGTGATCTGGGCTCACTGTCTCTTATTTAATCACTAGCAAAGCAGCTGGGGTTGGCTGAATGTATGATGCTGCTATTTTTTGAGGCTTGTAATTAAAGGATGTTTAGAATTAGATGAAAAACAGTTTTCCATTAGAATACCTAAGGTAATAACTTTACAATTCCCTCTGCCCCCCGCATTCTAAAGTGAAGAAATGCAGAGGAAAATCTTCCAACAACCGCTCAACAGTTCTGGATTCTTCTACAACTCATTATTTTTTGCATTGGTGTTTATATATATATGCTCTAAACAAAGCCATGGGCAAACCCTGAAGGTTTTGTAGTTTCTAGGTTTGTATAAGAATGTCTAATACACAGAACTAGTCTTCCATATCACACGTGCCTTTGCTGTACGTTTCCTCGCTATTTATAATGCGGTGGTGCATGGCAGTTCATAGTCTCTGCCTTTCTTTGCTGAACCAGCTGATGTTTGTGGGTGTTCGTTTAGGAATTGGCTGCTTATAAAAACTGGAGTCTTGTTTACACTTGTTAAAATATTTATTCAGGAAAGACCTAATACTGTTGTATTTGTTCGTAATCAGTTTGATTTTCAGTGTGCGGTGCTGTGCTAATTGAGCACGCTAGGCTCTGAGTTCAACAGGCTCAGGTCCACAGGCAAAATGGTTCCTATCTGTTCATATAGAGCTCATTTTTGTAGTAAAGACCTGCGTATCTGTGAGGTGATGTGAAGACGTGTTTCAGCTTTGTTTTAAAGGATTTGACAAAGCAGCCAAACGTTACTGTTTTTGTGAGAAGGAAGAATTATGAATAAAATACTAACTCAGGGAGGGGACCCTTTGACAAGACTTCTTCCTCTGCTGTCTGAGGCACTTCAAATTGCTACAGCATTGCCCAACTTCTATGGTTACTCACAGGGCTGAAATGAAGAGTTCTGCCTCTTTAACTCTCATTTTACAGCTCTGCGCTGCATTACATAATCTCTCTAAATAGCCGGTTTATTCTTGTTTCCTTGCAGGCAATCTGCTCTCACTATATCCATGTCAGAGTCGTAGTTACAAGGGAGTTGTTCTTGACTTGGGGCTCTGATACTTTCAATAGTCTTCAGTGGCCAAAAAGAAAAGGGAGAGGGGAAGGAAGGTCAATGGCATGATTATAGCTTGAAAGCTTCAGTCGCAGATATTCAAATTTGGTTTAAACTAAGTTTGAAGATTGCAGCTGCATCTAGCTTAATCCAATTTCTGAACTGTTGTGCTGTGTTTTTAATCACTTCCTTAAATGAATGTGTGTTTTCCCCAGTCCTCTTAAATACCAAAACATAGCTAACAGCATTTTAATGCTAAATGAGAAGGCATTTCTGAAGATGTTCTCTAATACATTTTTGACTGTTTACATTTAAACTATTTGCTTAATTCTTTAACCTTCGTTGTCATCACTGATTTCATAGCTGGTTTATTACCAGTGATTATGGAGGGCTCTACTTCCTGCCGGAACTATACAGCATGAATTCGACCAGCACAATATATTGTACGTGTGAAGAACAGAAATATCCAAAGAAGAGGAACAGAGAACACATCTTTATTTAACAAAACTAAAACAGCAAGGGAGGAGAGGATAGCGGAATCCTGGAATAATTTAGATTGGAAGGGACCTCTGGAGGTCCACAAAATGGTGGCTTTGAACGGCATTAAACTGCTCAGGGCCTAGTGCAGCTGGGCTTTGGGTATCCCCAAGGAAGGATATCATACAGTCTCCCTGGACAACCTGTTCTCTAATGCCTGTCCATCCCCACCGTGAAGATTTTTTTCCTTGTATCTGGTCAGAACTTACTTTGATAAAGTATGACTCTTGCTGTGCATCTCGGACGATTCTGGCTCTACCTTCTTTATAACCTCCCACTGAGTAGCTGAAGACACCACTGAGACCTCTCCCTTAGCTTTCTCTTCTTAAGGCTGAGCAAATTCACCTCTCAGCCTCATGCTGTGTGCTCCAGTCTCCTAATCATCTTAGGGGCTCTCTGCTGGACTTGCTCCAATATGTCACCGCCTTTTCTTGTGCAGAGGAGTCCTGAACTGGACAAAGTACTCTAAATATAGTCTCACAAGTGCTGAACAGGGGATAATAATCGCTTCCCTTGACCTGCTGGCTACAGTCTTAATGCAGCTCCAGGATGCACTTAGCCTTCATCACTGCAGCTGGGTGCTCCTGAGTCATGTTCATCTT